TGCTGGAACCCCCCCAGATGTGCTGGAACACCCTGCAGGTGTGTGCTGGAACCCCCCCAGATGTGCTGGAACACCCTGCGGGTGTGTGCTGGAACAAGAGAGTTTAACAAGTCTGGTCAACTACCACTTTACACCACTGGCCTCGAAGATTTACTGTTGCCAACTCCAACAAAACCTTGAATGTGACTATAGATGATTTTCTTATATAACGATACAAATCTTACACAATGAAATCACATTTTCTCAATACAAATCTTGCCATGCAAGATTTGTATGCCAACGACTCACAAGACATAGAACAAAAGCGACAATTATGAACAGGACGCCTACAAAAAATTAGAAGGGATTTGGTGGACAGTTGAATGTGGAGTCATTAAAGTTTTTCAATTAAACCATTGAGAGAGGAATAGATAAAAACATTAATTGGCGATATTAATTTCTGGGTTGAAGGGGGAGTGGGGGTCATTTGTGTGGGGGGAGGGGGTAATTTGTGTGTGGGGGGGGAGGGGTCAATTTAATTACAGTGGACTATAGGGGCGGTGTGTGCGTGTACTCAGCTAGTTGTGCTTGCGGGGGTTGAGCTCTGGCTCTTTGGTCCCGCCTCTCAACTGTTAATCAACTGGTGTACAGGTAGCCGAGCCTACAGGGCTCTGTCATATCTACACTTGAAACTGTGTATGGAGTCAGCCTCCACCACATCTCTGCCTAATGCATTCCATCCGTTAACTACTCTGACACTGAAAAAGTTCCTTCTAACGTCCCTGTGGCTCATGTGGGTACTCAGTCTCCACCTGTGTCCCCTTGTTCGCGCGGACATTAGTGCAGAGAGTTAATGTAAACTTTACACAAAATGTAGAAAGAACTGCGGACAGGGGTAAAGAGGCACTAGAGAGGGCCAGAGATGAGTAGATCAAGAGTCAGGTGAGAAGTAGTTTGGCAGCGACATAGTAACACAAGGAAAGGATCAAGCCTAAACGGTTGTGTGGCTGTATACGGTGGACAGGAGTATATCCTCGTGGACAGTGATAATGTCTACCACCACCACCACACCACCACCACTAACACCACCACCACTAACACCACCACCACTACCACCACCACCACTACAACCACTAACACCACCACCACTACTACTAACACCACCACTACAACCACTAACACCACCACCACTACTAACACCACCACCACTACCACCACTAACACCACCAGCACCACCTCCCCTATCACCACCTCACCACCACCATCACCACCACCACCACCACCTTCCCTATCACCACCACTAAGACCACCACCATCAACTAAGGTCACCCAGAAGGCACCATTAATAATCAAAGCCATCTTCTCCATTTGCAATTAATCACCCCAAAGAGATAATTACCAGCGGTACCAATTGGGCCATTAACTATCGGGTGATGTACAACGGGTAATGGAGAAAATTGGATAATAACCACTGTGTACATAATGCCATTAGTCCTGTAGCACAGTAGTCTACGCCCTGGGCTCGCAAGCCAGGGCCCAGGGTTCAATCCCCCCCCCAGGCAGGTCAGAAGCCGCCCGGCACCTTTGCTTTCACCTCATGCACTTGTTCACCCAGCAGGTAAAATAGGTACCGGGGATATTGTTATTGTGGATGATATCCTGGGGAAGGTTAGTAGTGAGAGAGAGAGAGAGAGAGAGAGAGAGAGAGAGAGAGAGAGAGAGAGAGAGAGAGAGAGAGAGAGAGAGAGAGAGAGAGAGAGAGAGAGAGAGAGAGAGAGTGAGTGAGTGAGTGAGTGAGTGAGTCCCAATATCAAGACAGGTGCTGGATTGCCTGGTTTCAACACCGGTCTCTGCTACCCCCCCCCCCTTAATACGGTGTGTGGAGGGGGTGGGAAGGGGGGGGGGTGTTTCTGGGTGTTTTTTTTGGATGGATGTATTGGTGAGGGAGTGTGTGTGCGTGCGTGTGTGTGTGTGTGTATTCACCTAGTTGTCCTTGCGGGGTTCAGTTCTGCTCCTTCGGCCCCGTCTCTTAACTGTCAATCAATCAATTGTTACTAACTACTAGCTAACTATTTTTTTCCACACACACACACACTCGGGAAGCAGCCCGTAACAGCTATCTAACTCCCAGGGACCGATTTATTACTCGGTAACAGGGGGGCATCAGGGTGAAAGAAACTCTGCTCATTTTTGTTTCTAGCCGGCGCCGGGAATCGAACCCGGGCCACAGGACTACGTTTCTAGCGTGCTATACCCCCCCACCGGCGCTGTGTGTGTGTGTGTGTGTGTGTGTGTGTGTGTGTGTGTGTGTGTGTGTGTGTGTGTGTGTGTGTGTGTGTGTGTGTGTGTGTGTGTGTGTGTGTGTGTGTGTGTGTGTGTGTGTGTGTGTGTGTGTGTGTGTGTGTGTGTGAGTGTTCAGAAGAACACAAGTGCTTGAACAAGGAAAACAAACGTTGAACGTTCATGAGCGAGAAAATTGCGTTCGCTCTCAACTCACAAATGGGGGGGAGGGGGATTCTTGGTTCGAATCCCGGACAGAAGTGGTTGGGCACGTTTCCTAATGCGTCTGTTCACCTAGCAGTAAATAGGTAGTTAGGAGTTAGGTTGTTGTGGGGGGGGGGTTCAGGAGCTCCACCTTGGGGGGGGGGGGGACGTGGATATAAGCCTAACATGTATATATATATGCACTGACTGCCTGTCCCCGACCAAATTAATTATTACACCACACCAAAAATCATTCTGCTTTATTCTCTCTCTCTCTCTCTCTCTCTCTCTCTCTCTCTCTCTCTCTCTCTCTCTCTCTCTCTCTCTCTCTCTCTCTCTCTCTCTCTCTCTCTCTCTCTTTTTCTCTCTCTTTTTCTTCTCTCTCTCTCTCTCCGCTGAGGAGAAGAATTCAACCCATAATGTTTGGTTACACTGAACCCCCCCCCTCCCCCCTCCCCCCTCCTCCCTCTCCCCCCTCCCCCCTCCCCCCCTCTCCCCCCTCCCTCCCTGCCCAAGGAGCCAGCCCAACACCGTTCCGCTGGTAATAGGATTAAAGCCCCCATGATAAATGGGATCCGGCGCGATAAATAGCCCCAGTGAAAGGCGTTGTGATCCACTAAGTGATTCTCTTGGCTCGCAAAACCTACAAGCAGCGGGATGATAGATGCAGAGAGTGTGATATATTGTCTGGTAATGGTGGTATTTTAGCCCCTGTGGCCCCTGTGGCACGGTGTCATCACCACAGCTCACAGCCGAAAGCTCCTGGGGTTCGATTCCCATAGCGGGACATTATCCTCTCTCTCCCCCCCCCCCCCACCCGTCCCATCCCAAATACTTATCCTGCTCCAATGAACAAATCCCCTTCTTATCCTGCTCCCTTTCCAAGTGATATATATATATATATATATATATATATATATATATATATATATATATATATATATATATATATATATATATATATATATAGATAGTCGTATTGGCTTGGCACTTTACCCTAATCATTCTCCTCCCTCGACGTTTCCTTTCGCCTAATGCATCTGTTCACCTAGCAGCAATTAAATAGGTAGCCCGGGAAGCAGACAAGAGTTGTGGGAGGCATTCTGCGGGAAGGTCAGGGGTCAGGCGACCTAATTAACCCTAACTGCCTCTCTCTCTCCACAAAGCTGGGTCCCAAAAGATGAACCAATCACCAATTTGTGTTTTTTGTTTACGTATTGCATATCTATACAATTTACCCCGTCTGTATTTGATCCAGTTGTTGATAAATACAACAAAAATGTTGGTAAGAAAAGATGACTTCCGGCAAACGCGAGCCTGGTATTTACCTGGTTGATACCTGGTTGATGGGGTTCTGGGAGTTCTTCTACTCCCCAAGCCCGGCCCGAGGCCAGGCTCGACTTGTGAGAGTTTGGTCCACCAGGCTGTTGCTTGGAGCGGCCCGCAGGCCCACATACCCACCACAGCCCGGTTGGTCCGGCACTCCTTGGAGGAATAAATCTAGTTTCCTCTTGAAAATGTCCACGGTTGTTCCGGCAATATTTCTTATGCTTGCTGGGAGGGTGTTGAACAACCGCGGACCTCTGATGTTTATCTCTGATATTTGTTGACGGTAGTGGCTATGCAATTGAAGTGAACCGTTCCTGTGGTGAGCCTTGCAACCTGGCGGGTTGTTGCAGCTGAACACAACTTCTCTGACAACCTGCTGACTCTCCTTCAGGTCAAAACGGCCTTCCTTTCCAATCTGCCTCTTCCGGCAACTACGTTTTGCGAAAAGCATTCGTCCGGAGTTCATATACTCCATGCGCCTAACTTCTTTCAACTGTCGTCAACCCGTTGGCTGTAAGACTGTGACACACACACACTCTCTCTCTCTCTCTCTCTCTCTCTCTCTCTCTCTCTCTCTCTCTCTCTCTCTCTCTCTCTCTCTCTCTCTCTCTCTCTCTCTCTCTCTCTCTCTCTTTCTCTCTCTCTCTCCACAAATAAATATTTTACCTTCTCATATCATTGGATTCAAAGAACACATCCACAGGAACCTTGATGAGGAGTTCGAATCTATGCACTAAGTGTTCCCAGATGCGCTCTAGTCAACTGTACCAGGTTCGAACCCTGGTCAAGGCTCCTGTGGATGTGTTCTCTGACGTATCACGTTAATGTGGTTCATCTCTGTATTGGATTTGACAGCTATTATTAGTTTAAGTTTCCGACAAATTACCAGACGTGTAGAACAGTACTAACCACCTGATATATTGTCCCCCTGCTGATGATATATTGTCCCCCTGCTGATGATATATTGTCCCCCTGCTGCTGACCAATTGTCTCCCTCCTGCTGACCAATTGTCCCCCTCCTGCTGCCCAGGCTGTGACTACCAGTTCCGTCACTACGATGAAGGGGACAGAATCGTCACCAACGAGCCCTGCCTCAACTGCACCTGTCACGACTCCATGCTCATGTGCTATCTAAAGGTAAATACCATCACAGGGTCCCAACACCTGCCTCTCAGGGTGTCCCAACACCTGCCTCTCAGGGTGTCCCAACACCTGCCTCTCAGGGTGTCCCAACACCTGCCTCTCAGGGTGTCCCAACACCTGCCTCTCAGGGTGTCCCAACACCTGCCTCTCAGGGTAAACAACACCTGTAAACCAGGTGTTGTTTACTCTGGGCGTCTGCAGAAATTTGTGGACATATTGCTGTAATATTTTAACTTCTGGAAAAAAAATTCTATATCTTTTGGTTCATGTTATTTTATTATTTTTGGAAACTATGAGTTCATTTAACCTACTCTGATATTGTTAATTTATGTTTTTCTGTTATATATACATATTTATGTATATATATAAATTTTCACCAATAAAAAGGTGTAAAATATCCATCCTGTAACTTGTTTAAAAAGTACAAAAATATATTTAATGTACAAATATTACAAATATATATATTTAGGCTGTTGAGTTTTGAGGGAGACTAATGACCTAATTACCTCCGGCCAGGTGTGTCCCTTCAGCAAGCCCATTGGTCAAGACTGTACGGTGGAGAAGAGCCCTAATCAGTGCTGTCCTGTAATTACCTGTCCTCAAGGTAATTTAAAACTATCCCCCCCCCCTCTCCTAATTTGTGCCTTGTACCCGGGCCTTCTCTTCCCACATCCCATATATTTATGACGTTGCATTTGCAGGAATTAAACTCTAGTAGCCACCTGTTGGGAGAATTCATGTAGTGGCGCGCGCGCGCGTGTGTAGGTCTATGAATCTATGTTACACGGGCATATAAGGCCCCCATGTACATCTACGCTCAAATCCATGCACAAATCTGTACACCAGTTGATTGACAGTCTAGAGGCGGGACCCAAGAGACAAAGCTCAACCCCCGCAAGCTCAACTAGGTGAGTACGTTAATACACAACGGAGAATACACAAAAATACACAGCTGGAGACAAATGGGATAACAGAGAACACAATACAAGAATAACACAGAGAATAAGATGTAAAAAAACAGACATAAAATGCCAAGACAAACAAGGATAGAAATTACACAACATTTAAGAAATGATTAATAAAACAAGAAAACGCTATAAAAAAAAAAGGCACAATAAACATACCGTAAAACGCATAAAAAGCACATTAATAGCTGCAAGCAAGAGAACACACACACACACACACACACACACACACACACACACACACACACACACACACACACACACACACACACACACACACACACACACACACACAGTCCGGATCTCGTGGCTGAGTGGACAGCGCTCGGGGGTTAATGTAGCCCTAAGGGCCCGAGTGCTCCTGTTCACTTAGCAGTAAATAGGTACCTGGGAGTTACCTGCCCTGCTACGGGCTGCTTCCTGGGGGGATGTGTATGAGTATGTTAGAAATATATGTAGTCGACATAATACACGAACAAAAGGCGGGGTCCAAGAGCTAATAGTTCGATTCTACAAACACAAATAGTAAATACACACCCAACACCATCCATTGTTTTGAGAAAATGGAGGCGGGAGCGGATCCACCTTCCCGGGGAGACTGAACTAAAGCACGAAACCACGCACCATTTTCTCTAATGTGGGAATCCTCGGGTGAAATCACAGCCCCGTTTATATTTCTCGCTGTGCAATCTTGTGGCAGGCAAATGGGGCTTCGGACAGCTACCCTGGCAAAGGAGGAAGATAATGGGGGCTATTCGGGAACTTGTTCCAGGCGGATATATCAACGCTAGGATCATTTTGGTTTTAAGGAGTGATTTTCTTGTGGCCTACTCTGGTGCACGGTTCCCGTTTTCTTTGAAAAACATATTAATGATTGTGTATGAATTTGTATTATTGTTATTACTGTTATTTACATTGTTATTGTATATACTGTGGGTGAACGTTCCTGGAACAATAGCATCGTGTTCAGAAACTCTTCTTAATCCTGAAATTGTTTGTCACTTAATCAAAGGAATGCACCGAGAGGTATACCCCCATATATCTGTCAGTGTACACTAAGAGTATACTCAATTACTGGTACTCTACTTCAGAGCTAAAATATACTTGAAGGTTGGTCAGTGGCCTTAATAACCCTCCTGCCGTAGATAGGTTGATAGCCCAACACCAAATTCATTTTGTATCACCGCTGTAAACAACACCCAAGCTTGTACGCCTTTTATTTTGTATTTTTTGGGGCGAGGATTTACTAAAATCCCAGCCATTAGGGCTGCTTGTATCTCATAAGTCCTTCGACCCTCGTTGGAATGCCTCAACGGTCTCACGCGAGCTTCCTGATTTTGTTACTAAAATCTGTGTCTTATAGCGTCCCTGAAGGAATGTGGTGTGGCAGAGTTGTAATGGTCGGTGCTGCGGTAATTGACGACGTCCGCGCGTGTCTTGAACCGACGGAGGGGAGGGAGAGGGGGGAGATAATGCTCAAGTTGTGAAGGACTGAAGGAAAGTGAAGGTAGAAGGGGAAGTGTCACCTTGTGAGGGGTAAGAGGAGGAAGGAGGTGATTATGAAAGTGAGAAAAGAAGAGATCGAAGAAATACAAATGGTGTGAATTCCCAGCAGTTAGCCAAGAATGGTGGATGGGGGGGAGGACATGCTTGAACCTTGACACCCCATCCTCTGACCCTACTTCGTCATGGTGTTATTCCCACGGCTGCTGAGTTGTGACTCCCAAACACCCTATACAGCCTTGCCCGGTGTCAAATCGTCGCCACACACACCAGAGCCTTGTCGACGACACCGCAGGACTCACACAACCTAAAGGGTTGTGCTGACAGACTCATCAAGTCCCATAATGTGTGAACTTGTGCACTAACCACTAATTGCTCTTTTTTACCCCAATCTATTGTAAAAATTTGTGTGTGTATATATATATATATATATATATATATATATATATATATATATATATATATATATATATATATATATATATATATATATATATATAATGTCGTTTTCTGCCATTATATTCCCATGTAAATTTTCTATTTCTGTATTCTCATAACATGCTGTGTACAGTATTATCAAGTACTGTGTCGCTGCTATGATACATTGCCGTTTTCTGTGACTTAAATATGGCACCCATCTACTGAGAGTGCCTAGCTCTAACCGTGCTCTTCCCTCCCGCGACAGTGCCAGTGAATCTTCAAGTGATGCAGATGACCACCACCACCACCACACTCTCCCCCCCAGCCATCACCAGCAGCGGCATCGTCGTCGTCAACGGCTCCAGCATCACCGGTCTAGCCACCGTCACTGAGCACGGCTGTACCATCGAGGGAAGCTATTACCCTGATGGCGTTCAGGTTAGTTCACTCTCTAGATCAATTTCATTTCAAATTACGTCCAAATTTGGCCATAGTGCAACCCGTCCTCTTAAAAATAACGTCACTTTTGGCTTGTATGCTCACTCATACAACCTGTCCTCTTAAAAAGAACGTCGCTTTTGGCCGTTTGCCCGTATGGCCGAATATGGACGTAATTTGAAAATGAAAAAAAATTGAAAATAAATTTGGGATTTTTTTTTTCAACAACAGTAAGTTAAGGGTCCTCTGATAGGTTAGGTGGGCAGGAAATTCTCATAAAGTTTCAAAACGTTATGAAAAACGTTAATTGAAAGTTCCTCTTCTAAGCTGTCCGAGGAGGGCCGGACGACTCAAACAGAAAACGGAACAGTACGTCACTTTTGTGAGTCGATTTCATTTCAAATTACGTCCAAATTTGGCCATAGTGCGCATACGAGCCAAAAGTGACGTTATTTTTAAGAGGACGGGTTGCGTCATCATGTCCTAGCTCCTTGTCCTCATATCCCTTCCAAGTGCTAGTCATTCTGGCTTCGATCTTACACTTGATAATTAACTGCTGCGAATGCTTTTGGTGTTCCTGAGTGACAGTCGTCGATACCGGTCAGGGCTGTGAGACACTTGAGCTGTTCATACCTAAGTTGCCCTTAACAGCTATGTTTTAGTGTAATATTAATGTGTTGTTCAGTGTAGATTATTGAGGTGAAGTGTGTTTGTATGTGTGTGTGTTGTGTATGTGCCTATGTTGTGTGTGCATTCTTATGTTGTGTGCCTGTATGTGTATTTGCTGTAGGGAAGGGGGGAGTGTGGTACGAGTTCAATAGACGAATTACACCCTCCTCCTCCACAACTCTGCACATAAATTCACCTTTCCCCGATCCGTGTCCGTACCAGGTACCAGGAGATCCGAGCAAGCCATGCGAACTGTGTTACTGCATCAGGAATCACACAGCTTGTGTGATGCAGGAGTGCATTCTTATGGTGCCTGGGTGCAAGCCTATCTTCCAGGAGGGAATCTGCTGCCCCGTCAGATACGACTGTGGTCAGTACTCATTTTGGAATCTTGGTTATTAAGTTAAATGTGGGTGGATGGGTTTGGGTGCGTGTTGTACATAAAGTATGTTCAATATACTGGCTTATATCACCAATCGGTATCGTTGCCTCATGCGATATTTACATCTCTACGCACAAAGATTAGAAAAAACCATAACACATCTTTTCCTGTTCTCACTACATTTGTTGTTTCCAGCTTACAACGAGACTGACGAGAGTATTCCAACAACGACGGCATCGGCCTTCTTAGTGGGCAATGACTCTGCGATTCTCCCAACCACCACCATGCCCCCACCTCCTGCCGGCTGCTTCCACAAGGGCGAGTTCTTTGCTGACGGTGCCCTCATTCCCTCCGAAGACCCGTGCGAGCACTGCTACTGCATGCTGAGCGACCTCGTGTGTGCCATCCAGGAGTGTGTCTCCCCGCTCGACGACATGCAGGAGAACTGCATTCCAAGAGCGGCGCCCGAGGGACGGTGCTGCCCTGAAGCCTATGACTGCCGTAAGTACTGTTAGTGGGAGGGCGATGAAGGAACTTAGGAAGGTACGCATGTCAGGGGGCACTCACCTCAGAGACCCTCCGCCTCGGGCACTCACCTCAGAGACCCTTGCCTCAGGCACTCACCTCAGAGACCCTTGCCTCGGGCACTCACCTCAGAGACCCTTGCCTCGGGCACTCACCTCAGAGACCCTTGCCTCGGGCACTCACCTCAGAGACCCTTGCCTCAGGCACTCACCTCAGAGACCCTTGCCTCAGGCACTCACCTCAGAGACCCTTGCCTCAGGCACTCACCTCAGAGACCCTTGCCTCGGGCACTCACCTCAGAGACCCTTGCCTCAGGCACTCACCTCAGAGACCCTTGCCTCGGGCACTCACCTCAGAGGCACTCATAATGCTATATCTCCAAACGAATAATTTTCTGCTATAATTGGATAAAGCAGTAAATTCCCAGTTCTCTCTAGGCTAGATATGAAAGTACAATCTTCCTCTGTGGCTCCCTTTCTCCCCACGATCTTCCTCTGTGGCTCCCTTTCTCCCCACGATCTTCCTCTGTGGCTCCCTTTCTCCCCACGATCTTCCTCTGTGGCTCCCTTTCTCCCCACGATCTTCCTCTGTGGCTCCCTTTCTCCCCACAATCTTCCTCTGTAGTAATCATTATTGGTATCAGTTTGTGATGCCAGAAGTGAGGAAGGGACATAGGCTAAGCACTTTAGTCTCCCCGCTGCTCATCACATCCCGAGGTGAAATATTCAGTAAATAAACCATTCTGAGACAAGGATCCCTCTTCTTGCAACTGTGCTCACAAATAATCTTCACTTCTTTTGGTCAAATATTAATAATGTTCGCTCAAAAAAACTTAGCGCTTAAACAGCTCTGCCAATGAAAACTGCATCGTGGTGTGCATGACAAAAAATAGTTCACAGAACGAATATATATATATATATATATATATATATATATATATATATATATATATATATATATATATATATATATATATATATATATATATATATATAAACTAATTGTATTTGCCGATTTGAATACAGAAAGTAGTCACAGATAGCGGGTGGAGCCGTTTAAGGGTTAAACCGTCAAAAGCAAGCACTATAACATGAACCTTCTTGACAATAGGCCCCTGTTTGTGGATATTGGAAGCAATTTCCAGGATATATATATATATATATCCTTCCAGTGTTCATGTCCAGGGTTCTGGAGCCGGTGTTTAACAGGTGTGTAACAATTCCTTGCAGGTGATGGGTCAGTGTACACATTACCCATTCCCCCCCAGCAGGGTGTTCCCCATACACTCTCGAGCGAGCGAGAGCAGAGACTTCACTCTGGGACTCAATTCGGTGGTTACCTTAACACCTCGTTCGTTCAGCATCCACGATTAACTCATTTTCCCTAAGAGCTTGCACGGCACAACTAACTATACATGCCATGACGTATGCTTATCCTGCTTCTCCCTGGCTAATTTGTTAAATGTATGTTTCCAAAGAAAAGGATTTAAACATACCCTTGCTTCGACCTTTCCTCTAAATCTAGAAATTAGTCACTGCACGGCCTGATTGTCTGATATGTAAATGTTTATGCAGTAAACAAATTATGTCAGTTTCATGGTCACCTGACGGAGGCATCATAAGGGGCCTCAAACAGTTGCATGGTGTATAAACAACACATCAATTTGCAATGAGATGCAAGACCTTCAGAAGAATAAACAACATTCATCCAATCTTGCGTGATTATCTCACTGCAAAACAACTTCTACCATAACACACAGTAATGCGAATGTTAAACTAAATATTATCTTCAACAAATATACTAAACATTACCTGTGAACATACAATACTTTAGATTTATGTTGGCACGAAATAAGCATGCTTATAATTTTATAACGAAATTAGCATGTCAGTTATTTTAACCACGAATGAAAGGTTCTCACGATAATTGCTGATCTTAAAATACCATATATAATATATAAAATCCGAAGTGCATGTAACTTGAAATGCCCCGCATGAGTGCTGAGTGTGAGTCTTTCGGTTTGACTCTTACAACCAAAGACTCAGGACTAGTGTGTGCGAGTCTTACAAAATCAATAAATGCCTAAAAGTACATGAACAAACTGGCTTACGGAGCTTACATCTGACTAATTACAACCCGACGCTATTTCTGTAACATTCCGACACTTCCACAGGTGAGATCAGATTCGACACATGAGAGAAGGCATTTGGTGCATCAGAATCATGTTTATAGCTGAGGGGAAAGGCGTAAGCCATATATAAGATATGAACTGACTTTTTGAGACTTTCGGGTGGGCGTAAGTCTGTGCGGTAGTTCAATGCTGTTCGTATGGCGATGAGACCTAAGCCACATGGAGCTCAAAATATTATTGCATAAAGCAAAATGATTTGTTTATACGATATTTGAACTTAGAGATACTGCTTGATTATAAGACTTCAGAATTTGTTTAGTAACTGAAACTCGACGATTTATATTAGCCTCTGGCTCATTTATATCTCCTAGGAGCCCTCAGACTGAATCATGAGACACACACTTCCACTTAACTCGGATACCACATAATAATGACAGCGACAGTCTTGCAAGATGTGAGAATTTACGTAAGATTCCTCTCAGGAATGATCAAGTATATATTAGTGATGACTGCTTAGAAATGTATAAGAGGTTCAAAGGTAACTGTGCTAAGGTAATCAGTAGTTACTAATTGATTATCTTGTAGGAAAGAAAGCCTTTTAATGTCTTTAATCGTATTTTTAATGAGAAATCCAGATGTTGTTATGCTCGCATATTATAGTATTTTTCACCCTATACATTTTTTTCAAAAGTGAACAAGAATATAAAGGCAAGAAGTATAATTTGAGACCTTTCTAAAATGTCTACATCATTTTTATTTCATATAATTAGTAGATATAATTATCATTAACATTAGACAAAGTGCATCCCTATGAGTAAAACTGTTATATATATTTTTTGCATGAGACTAATTGGATTTATGTTGACTTGCAGCCGAGGTGACAACAGTAACACTGGATTTGTCAGCACTGACGACCGAGCCAACCAACGCTACAGAGAGCATCACTGAGGACCCAGAGCCAGAGACGGACATCGACCAGCTGGTTACAACTGATCTCCCACCTGTTGACGGAGAAATTGTTGTCACAGACACGATTGCCCAAACTGGAACCGATGAGACAACCACTGATAGTTTATCTGAGGTTGATGAAACGTATACTGGTGGTCCAACTGGGGTTGAAACTACCACCGATTCTCCAAAAGTATCTGACATAACAGACACGCCTATCGACTCGGCTACAGACACTACGGATATCATCAGTGGGTCACCTGCTACAGGTTCCGACAGTTCTACTGAAAGTTCCCTAACTACACTCCAAGAGGGTGATTACAGTACTGAAGCTTCTCTTGCTACTGATGACCTCAGCGGAGTTAGTGTACCAGGTGTTACCGAGCCCTCAACACTTACTGATGAAACAGAAAGTCCTGATTATCCCACAAGTTATGAGACCTCGGTAACTTCTGAAGCTCCAGTAACGCCTGAGGCTCCAGCAACCTCTGAGGCTCCTATTGGTACCCCGAGTCAAGAAGATATTGAATCTCTTGCAGGTACTGATGTCTCATCTAGTACTGATTCAACTGGGGTTAAAACTACCACTGATAGTTTACTTGAAGTTGATGAGACGTCCACTGGTGGTCCAACTGAGGTTGAAACTACCACCGATGGTTTACTTGAAGTTGATGAGACGTCCACTGGTGGTCCAACTGAGGTTGAAACTACCACCGATGGTTTACTTGAAGTAGATGAGACGTCCACTGGGGTTGAAACTACCACTGATAGTTTACTTGAAGTTGATGAGTCGTCCACTGAAGATCCAACTGGGGTTGAATCTACCACCGTTTCTCCAATAGTACCCGAAATATCGATTACGCCTATCGACTCGGCTACAGACACTACGGATATCATCAGTGGGTCACCTGCTACAGGTTCCGACAGTTCTACTGAAAGTTCCCTAACTACACTCCAAGAGGGTGATTACAGTACTGAAGCTTCTCTTGCTACTGATGACCTCAGCGGAGTTAGTGTACCAGGTGTTACCGAGCCCTCAACACTTACTGATGAAACAGAAAGTCCTGATTATCCTACAAGTTATGAGACCTCGGTAACTTCTGAAGCTCCAGTAACGCCTGAGGCTCCAGCAACCTCTGAGGCTCCTATTGGTACCCCGAGTCAAGAAGATATTGAATCTCTTGCAGGTACTGATGTCTCATCTAGTACTGATTCAACTGGGGTTAAAACTACCACTGATAGTTTACTTGAAGTTGATGAGACGTCCACTGGTGGTCCAACTGAGGTTGAAACTACCACCGATGGTTTACTTGAAGTTGATGAGACGTCCACTGGGGTTGAAACTACCACCGATGGTTTACTTGAAGTAGATGAGACGTCCACTGGGGTTGAAACTACCACTGATAGTGTACTTGAAGTTGATGAGTCGTCCACTGAAGATCCAACTGGGGTTGAATCTACCACCGTTTCTCCAATAGTACCCGAAATATCGATTACGCCTATCGACTCGGCTACAGACACTACGGATATCATCAGTGGGTCACCTGCTACAGGTTCCGACAGTTCTACTGAAAGTTCCCTAACTACACTCCAAGAAGGTGATTACAGTACTGAAGCTTCTCTTGCTACTGATGACCTCAGCGGAGTTAGTGTACCAGGTGTTACCGAGCCCTCAACACTTACTGATGAAACAGAAAGTCCTGATTATCCCACAAGTTATGAGACCTCGGTAACTTCTGAAGCTCCAGTAACGCCTGAGGCTCCAGCAACCTCTGAGGCTCCTATTGGTACCCCGAGTCAAGAAGATATTGAATCTCTTGCAGGTACTGATGTCTCATCTAGTACTGATTCAACTGGGGTTAAAACTACCACTGATAGTTTACTTGAAGTTGATGAGACGTCCACTGGTGGTCCAACTGAGGTTGAAACTACCACCGATGGTTTACTTGAAGTTGATGAGACGTCCACTGGGGTTGAAACTACCACCGATGGTTTACTTGAAGTAGATGAGACGTCCACTGGGGTTGAAACTACCACTGATAGTGTACTTGAAGTTGATGAGTCGTCCACTGAAGATCCAACTGGGGTTGAATCTACCACCGTTTCTCCAATAGTACCCGAAATATCGATTACGCCTATCGACTCGGCTACAGACACTACGGATATCATCAGTGGGTCACCTGCTACAGGTTCCGACAGTTCTACTGAAAGTTCCCTAACTACACTCCAAGAAGGTGATTACAGTACTGAAGCTTCTCTTGCTACTGATGACCTCAGCGGAGTTAGTGTACCAGGTGTTACCGAGCCCTCAACACTTACTGATGAAACAGAAAGTCCTGATTATCCCACAAGTTATGAGACCTCGGTAACTTCTGAAGCTCCAGTAACGCCTGAGGCTCCAGCAACCTCTGAGGCTCCTATTGGTACCCCGAGTCAAGAAGATATTGAATCTCTTGCAGGTACTGATGTCTCATCTAGTACTGATTCAACTGGGGTTAAAACTACCACTGATAGTTTACTTGAAGTTGATGAGACGTCCACTGGTGGTCCAACTGAGGTTGAAACTACCACCGATGGTTTACTTGAAGTTGATGAGACGTCCACTGGGGTTGAAACTACCACCGATGGTTTACTTGAAGTAGATGAGACGTCCACTGGGGTTGAAACTACCACTGATAGTTTACTTGAAGTTGATGAGTCGTCCACTGAAGATCCAACTGGGGTTGAATCTACCACCGATTCTCCAATAGTACCCGAAATATCGATTACGCCTATCGACTCTGCTACAGACACTACGGATATCATCAGTGGGTCACCTGCTACAGGTTCCGACAGTTCTACTGAAAGTTCCCTAACTACACTCCAAGAGGGTGATTACAGTACTGAAGCTTCTCTTGCTACTGATGACCTCAGCGGAGTTAGTGTACCAGGTGTTACAGAGCCCTCAACACTTACTGATGAAACAGAAAGTCCTGATTATGCCACAAGTTATGAGACCTCGGTAACTTCTGAAGCTCCAGTAACGCCTGAGGCTCCAGCAACCTCTGAGGCTCCTATTGGTACCCCGAGTCAAGAAGATATTGAATCTCTTGCAGGTACTGATGTCTCATCTAGTACTGATTCCACTGGGGTTAAAACTACCACTGATAGTTTACTTGAAGTTGATGAGACGTCCACTGGTGGTCCAACTGAGGTTGAAACTACCACCGATGGTTTACTTGAAGTTGATGAGATGTCCACTGGGGTTGAAACTACCACCGATGGTTTACTTGAAGTAGATGAGACGTCCACTGGGGTTGAAACTACCACTGATAGTTTACTTGAAGTTGGTGAGTCGTCCACTGAAGATCCAACTGGGGTTGAATCTACCACCGTTTCTCCAATAGTACCCGAAATATCGATTACGCCTATCGACTCGGCTACAGACACTACGGATATCATCAGTGGGTCACCTGCTACAGGTTCCGACAGTTCTACTGAAAGTTCCCTAACTACACTCCAAGAAGGTGATTACAGTACTGAAGCTTCTCTTGCTACTGATGACCTCAGCGGAGTTAGTGTACCAGGTGTTACCGAGCCCTCAACACTTACTGATGAAACAGAAAGTCCTGATTATCCCACAAGTTATGAGACCTCGGTAACTTCTGAAGCTCCAGTAACGCCTGAGGCTCCAGCAACCTCTGAGGCTCCTATTGGTACCCCGAGTCAAGAAGATATTGAATCTCTTGCAGGTACTGATGTCTCATCTAGTACTGATTCAACTGGGGTTAAAACTACCACTGATAGTTTACTTGAAGTTGATGAGACGTCCACTGGTGGTCCAACTGAGGTTGAAACTACCACCGATGGTTTACTTGAAGTTGATGAGACGTCCACTGGTGGTCCAACTGAGGTTGAAACTACCACCGATGGTTTACTTGAAGTAGATGAGACGTCCACTGGGGTTGAAACTACCACTGATAGTTTACTTGAAGTTGATGAGTCGTCCACTGAAGATCCAACTGGGGTTGAATCTACCACCGTTTCTCCAATAGTACCCGAAATATCGATTACGCCTATCGACTCGGCTACAGACACTACGGATATCATCAGTGGGTCACCTGCTACAGGTTCCGACAGTTCTACTGAAAGTTCCCTAACTACACTCCAAGAGGGTGATTACAGTACTGAAGCTTCTCTTGCTACTGATGACCTCAGCGGAGTTAGTGTACCAGGTGTTACCGAGCCCTCAACACTTACTGATGAAACAGAAAGTCCTGATTATCCCACAAGTTATGAGACCTCGGTAACGTCTGAAGCTCCAGTAACGCCTGAGGCTCCAGCAACCTCTGAGGCTCCTATTGGTACCCCGAGTCAAGAAGATATTGAATCTCTTGCAGGTACTGATGTCTCATCTAGTACTGATTCAACTGGGGTTAAAACTACCACTGATAGTTTACTTGAAGTTGATGAGACGTCCACTGGTGGTCCAACTGAGGTTGAAACTACCACCGATGGTTTACTTGAAGTTGATGAGACGTCCACTGGGGTTGAAACTACCACCGATGGTTTACTGGAAGTAGATGAGACGTCCACTGGGATTGAAACTACCACTGATAGTTTACTTGAAGTTGATGAGTCGTCCACTGAAGATTCAACTGGGATTGAATCTACCACCGATTCTCCAATAGTACCCGAAATATCGATTACGCCTATCGACTCGGCTACAGACACTACGGATATCATCAGTGGGTCACCTGCTACAGGTTCCGACAGTTCTACTGAAAGTTCCCTAACTACACTCCAAGAGGGTGGTTACAGTACTGAAGCTTCTCTTGCTACTGATGACCTCAGCGGAGTTAGTGTACCAGGTGTTACCGAGCCCTCAACACTTACTGATGAAACAGAAAGTCCTGATTATCTCACAAGTTATGAGACCTCGGTAACTTCTGAAGCTCCAGTAACGCCTGAGGCTCCAGCAACCTCTGAGGCTCCTATTGGTCCCCAGAGTCCAGAAGATATTGAATCTCTTGCAGGTACTGATGTTCCATCTGGAACTCATGAGACTTCCACTGATGTTTCAACTGGAGTTGACGCGACCACTGTTTCAACTGGAGTTGATGGGACCACTGATGTTTCAACTGGAATTGACGAGATCATCCATGTTTCAACTGGAGTTGATGAGACCACTGATGTTTCAACTGGAGTTGACGAGACCTCCATCGATGTTTCAACTGGATTTGATGAGACCACTGATATTTCAACTGGAGTTGACGAGATCTCCCCGGATGTTTCAACTGGAGTTGATGAAACCACTGATGTTTCACCTGGAGTTGACGAGACCTCCATCGATGTTTCAACTGGATTTGATGAGACCACTGATATTTCAACTGGAGTTGACGAGATCTCCCCGGATGTTTCAACTGGAGTTGACGAGATCTCCCCGGATGTTTCAACTGGAGTTGATGGGACCACTGATGTTTCACCTGGAGTTGACGAGATCTCCATCGATGTTTCAACTGGAGTTGAGATTACAACAAGTGTTGATTCTATCCCCACCATTCCTGACATTGGCGAAACAACAACTGGAGCTAGTGCAGGCGTCGAGGACGGTGAAATTAGTGAAGGGTCCTTTACAGTTGCTCCAGGAACTACTGATGGGCTCTACACAGATGTTCCTCCTGCGACTGGAAGCTGCATCGTTAATGGCACAAAGTATGATAATAATAGCATTGTCCCACTGACGAATCCTTGTCAAGAAAGTTGTAAATGTGTGGATGGCAAGCTGAAGTGTGACTATATAGGCTGCCCTCCGTCACCACCTGCCTTCCTTAGGTGTGACGTAGTAGCTTCAGAAGGGAAGTGCTGCCCAACCTACTCTTGCCGTGAGTACTCATGAGGGTTGACATTGAAAGTTATTTTAACAATTTTGTTTATTGGCTGCTATATTAAATCTATTCTTTAATTAGGTGTTGCCATTTTAAATCAGTATATTAATAAATTGATTAATTTTTCAGCATCTAACCAGACCGAGCAATCACCTTCGCCTGGATGTGTACTTGATGGTGTCCAGTATTATGAAGGAGATCACATGCCAAGCTCTGACTTCTGTTCAGACTGCTACTGCTCATATGGTGAACATCTTTGTGCATATGTTGAGTGCAGCGAACCAGCCGGACAAAACTGTAAACCCACTGAAGTGCCTAAGGGCGAGTGCTGTCCAACAAAATATGACTGTGGTTAGTGTTTTGTTAGTTCTCTAAATAGGGGCCTAGTGGACACAATATCTAAGAGTGGCGTTGGTTTGATGGCGAATCATCATTAATTTAACTGATATATAGTTGATTTGGCGTTGAGTTCGGGTTGCTTTTGGATATTGTGCTCATTGGGGAGTGTGGGTTTTAGCTTAGAGTATGGATAGAGACTGGAAGCGACTATATTTATTTATTTTTATTTATTTATTTATTTATTTATTTATATACAAGTAGATACATTGGGATTGTGAGAATACATAGCACAGTAATTACATTCTTGTAAAACCACTAGTATGTGCAGCATTTCGGGCAGGTCCTTAATCTAAGAAAATTTTAAGTAGGTAAATACTAGCAAAATTTAAAAAAATGATAACAGTTACATAGCAAGAAAAAATAAAAGATGAGAGAAAATTGTAGGTATATTCAAGCACATAGGTAGCTCAGATTGATTGCAATGACAGCTTGAATGGTAGTTTAATAAAAATTAGTAGGCACAATACATCATATGGCTAGCACATAAAAGAATATTTAAATTATACGATATATAAATGATTTAAAGCTTTAATTATGATGAAAGATTAATTTAGCAATTATTCCAGATGCAGTTGATTTCATCGACATAGAAAACCTTGTCACTGATGCTGGAACTAGCACAACCCAGTCACCTGGAGCTACCGACACCGACAGAGAAACGGTGACGATCATCATTGAGGAATCAGTTACCAAGGCACCATCACCTTCAGAAGGCGAGGCACCAGTGACTCAAGCTATCATTACTGGTGAAGCAGTAGGTGAAACTATTGCTCTGACAGAAGCGCCAGATTCAATGATGACTGGCCCAGTTACATCCTTTGAGACACGAACAACGGCCCCAGATGACGATAGCTTCATAACTACACCGATGACCGTTTTGCCGGGTGATAGCTTGACTTCACATAGTGACGAATGGACTGCAGTTACCATCACACCAGTTGAAGTTGAAGAGAATGTGACTGATGTCTCAGTTGAAGGAGGCGAGACAGACGTGATAATAGAAGTTCCTGTCACAGGCCTAGGACAAGAACTACCTGGTGTCCCTGGAGAAGGCAGCTGTATTGTTAACAATATCACTTACACCAATGGTGCCACACTTCCTGGAACTACACCTTGTCACAAATCATGTTCATGCCTGAATAGTATTATAGCTTGCACCTTGAAGGCCTGTGCCTCGCCTCCACCAGCGTTCCTAAAGTGTCAGCCTGTCCAGGACCCTGACCAGTGTTGCCCTACATACGACTGTGGTAAGCTTAATCCCTAAACTGTGCAGCTATTTTTTTAAGTACTATAATGCTTGAATCAAAATATGTTAACAAATCAAATTGGAAAAAATTGCATTAAGGGTTATTTAAATTTAATGAAGTATTCCTGTGGGCTTAATTAAATAATTGTTTTTAAAGTGTTGAAGTTTCAAATGCATTAAGGGTCAACCTTTAACAAGCCATTGGCTTCCTAACACCATCAAACCTTCAAGAGATGGCGAGCCTCAGGTAAACATATAATAACCATACCATCTTTTTCAGACCCTGAAGCTCCTCCAAGCACACCATCTCCGGGCTGTGTCAGTCATGGAGTGCAGTACTACGAGGGCCAGAATGTTCCGAGCAAAGACGTGTGTACAGATTGTTTCTGCACTGGTGGGGAGGTAATCTGTGCAACCTTAGACTGTCCACTTCCAAATGGAACTAATTGCAAACCCGTAATTCGAAATGAAGATGGCTGCTGCCCCAGTGAATATGAATGTGGTAAGCTTAAAAATAACTTCATCATATAAGAATATAGATCATGGGACAGAACTTTAGTAACAAAAATTTTAGATTGACACCAAAGCAGCACAACTATTTACAGTACTTCATCAGTGAATGCATGTTTAAATATAGTTAAGTTTAATGCCAAAAAATTGCAGATAGTAATTAAAGCACTGTAAGGATAAATAGTGTTTGTAGCACTGTAAGGCATAAACAACAATTGGAGTACTGTAAGAGTTAAACAGGGATTAAGGCAGAGTAAGGGGTAAAAACAATTTGGCAAGTCAAATACTTTAATTGATTTGCAAACCAAATTTCTATTATACTCTACAGTATTTAATATATGAAGTCATTATTATTGTTTGGAGAAATTGACATTAACAAAAATATCATTTGCAAATATGGATGTAATTCCAGAGACTTCAACTAATGGACCAACTCCAGCCAAGGAGACCACTGACGGGCCAACTGCAGCCGAGGAAACTACCACTGACGGGCCAACTGCAGCCGAGGAAACTACCACTGACGAGCCAACTGCAGCCGAGGAAACTACCACTGACGAGCCAACTGCAGCCGAGGAAACTACCACTGACGGGCCAACTGCAGCCGAGGAAACTACCACTGACAGGCCAACTGCAGCCGAGGAAACTACCACTGACGGGCCAACTGCAGCCGAGGAAACTACCACTGACGGGCCAACTGCAGCCGAGGAAACTACCACTGACGGGCCAACTGCAGCCGAGGAAACTACCACTGACGAGCCAACTGCAGCCGAGGAAACTACCACTGACGGGCCAACTGCAACCGAGGAAACTACCACTGACGAGCCAACTGCAGTCGAGGAAACTACCACTGACGAGCCAACTGCAGCCGAGGAGACCACTGACGAGCCAACTGCTGCCGAGGAAACTACCACTGACGGGCCAACTGCAGCCGAGGAAACTACCACTGACGGGCCAACTGCAGCCGAGGAGACCACTGACGAGCCAACTGCAGTCGAGGAAACTACCACTGATGGGCCAACTGCAGCCGAGGAGACCACTGACGAGCCAACTGCAGCCGAGGAAACTACCACTGACGGGCCAACTGCAGCCGAGGAGACCACTGACGAGCCAACTGCAGCCGAGGAAACTACCACTGACGAGCCAACTGCAGCCGAGGAAACTACCACTGACGAGCCAACTGCAGCCGAAGAAACTACCACTGACGAGCCAACTGCAGCCGAGGAAACTACCACTGACGAGCCAACTGCAGCCGAGGAAACTACCACTGACGAGCCAACTGCAGCCGAAGAAACTACCACTGACGAGCTAACTGCAGGTGTTGAGACAGCCACTGTTGTACCATTAACCCCTTACACAACTGTGGGCCCATCCACAGGTGACATTGACACTGTGCCTACAGATACCATTGTTAACGGCTGTGTTATGAACGACCAGGTGTTTGATGATGGAGACAGTGTTCCTACAGTGTCCCCTTGTCAGCAAGAATGTAGATGTGCTAATGGTACCGTACATTGTATCCAGCCTTCCTGCCCCCCACCGCCTCCGGCCTTCCGTCAGTGTGAGGTAGTGTCATCAGTGGACCAGTGCTGCCCATCTTTTAATTGTCGTAAGTTGTCCCGACATGTATTCTTACAACTATCATACGTTTTGCTCCTAATATGAAATTAAATCTAAAAAAATCTAATCATACATTCCAATGATTTGTTAAACCAAAGTCTTACAAATACTCTCCTTGTTTTTCTCCAGCTGTTCCCGAGACCACATCATCGCCACGTCAATGTGTGAGCATTGATGGTACCATTTACATGGAAGGAGAATATGTTCCCAAGGATGACTGTTCAGACTGTTATTGTTATGATGGCGAGATCCTGTGTGCCACCCTGGAGTGTGCATCACCTGGCGACCATTGTGTGCCAATGCCCACACCCCAAGGCAGCTGCTGCCCTGAGAAATACGAATGCTGTACGTTGAATTCAATTTATTGTATTTTTGAATTTGAAGGCCTAGTGGATATTTGTAGTATTATATTCAAATAAAATATTTCTTAAATTGAATATATTTAGTTAGAAAATAGGGTAATACAGTATTTAGAAATACAGTATAATGTCAAGATCTCTAGAATAGGTTTCCAGGTAACATCACAGAAGCAAACTCAAAAGTTTTAATGTGCAAAACTTTCTTTCATTTTTTATTTCAGTGGATGTAACATCCTCGCCCGCCACAGCTTCTGACATTTCTACCGAAGGTTCTGTAACTCCAGCCATAACTGTAGACTATACGGAAAGTCCCGAGGCTCCTGCTGGTACTGAGGTTCCTGAAGCTCCTGAAGGTACTGAGGCTCCTGCTGATATTGAGGCTCCTGCTGGTACTGAGGTTCCTGAAGCTCCTGAAGGTACTGAGGCTCCTGCTGGTACTGAGGCTCCTGCTGGTACTGAGGTTCCTGAAGCTCCTGAAGGTACTGAGGCTCCTGCTGGTACTGAGGCTCCTGCTGGTACTGAAGCTCCTGAAAGTACTGCGGCTCCTGCTGGTACTGAAGGTACTGATGTTTCTGCTGGTACTGAGGTTCCAGAAGGTACTGAGGTTTCTGCTGGTACTGAAGCTCCTAAAGGTACTGAGGCTCCTGCTGGTACTGAAGCTCCTGAAAGTACAGAGACTCCTGAGGGTACCAGCCAAGTCACCATCTCTCTAACATCCATTGATGCTGACAGCCAGGTGACCGAAGCTTCCGTTGCTACAGATGATTTTGATGTGACTGGTGGACCAAGTGCCACCGAGTCTTCTGTCTTCCCTGTTGGACCCACTGTCATGGGTGAGTCATTGGTGACTGATGGCTCTGTTAGCACTGACAGTACTTCTGATGATGTGAGTGGAACTGGTGTCACCGACGCAGTAGGAACTGGTGTCACCGACGCAACAGGAGCAACTGCTGACGGACAGACTGCAGAAAGTGTCGCAGGTGAAACCAGCACAACTGGCTCCGAGACTTCATCTAGTGTCAGTGAGTCCAGTAACGCTACGGCAACACCCTCGACAGAGGAATCAGTAAGCGAGGCTCCCGAGGAGAGCACATCGATTTCACCCATTGAGTCTTCCTCAGTCACCGGTTTATCTGTAGAGCCTTCTCTATCGACGAAGTCCACAGTAGCTGGTTATGTGACAGAAGCTACTACCATTGAAGGAGTCTCTCCCAGTGCAGAGAAAGAACCGGAAGGTGGCATTGAAGTGGGGATCTCTGAGGCACCGACAATAACGACAGCATCGCCAGAAGCTTCCGTGACTGCATTGCTGGGCACTGTGACATCAGAAGCATCTCCATTCCCACCTTATCCAGGCACTACTCACTCTACCACAGTCGCACCATCATCAACAACTGAAATCCTCTTCGGGCCAGGTGCTTGTATGTTTGATGGTAAAGTGTACGTGTCAGCCCAACAGATCCCTCGAGAAGACCCATGTGACTTCTGCTTCTGCTTCCGCGGCGACATCATCTGCCTGCAACAGTCCTGTCCCCCACCTATCCCAGGATGCTACGAGGAGGCTATCCCTGGTTTCTGCTGTCCGCGCTATGAATGCCTGGTTACCCAGAGTGTGGTCAACATTACCACCACTACCACACCTATCCCTACCTATCCCCCCGTCCGGATAACCCAGGAGGTTGTTATGTGTGAAATCGGTGATAGGTTCTACCACACTGGTGAGCTGGTTGAAGAAGCTTCTGGACCGTGTCTGGAGTGCAGGTTAGTATCTGACAGGTCATATGCAATATGTAAGAAAGTGATGTAGACATATTTATTTTAGCGAAATACATTTGTGTAGATGGATTAAATTTCATGAATATGCAGATCATACATATTGTATTACTGTATTTTCAGTGAATTTATACTCTTGAACAAAGACATTCTAAAATTCTCTTCTTACTGTATTTTTATTTATTATCGTAGGTGTGGACGAGGCGGCATGATGGAGTGCGACCCAAAGGAGTGCCAAGCTGAGCCCATCCTACGTAAGATTCTTCGCTCTAAGTACCAGCGGTGAGTGCGTCGAGAGGAAGACTGGCATGCCCAGATGCCCCACGATGCCTGCTACAAACCCACCACTTAACCATCACCACCAACCACTCATACATACATGGTTGCTGCCCTAGCAACACCCACCTGTTCCTGCTAGCTAGGTTGGTTCACCTGTGGACACCATCCTGGCTGCATATTTTATCGCTAGGAGGACTCTCGCTGCTAAAAACTGAAGGATATGACACTTTCAAAATATAAATCAACATTAAGTTATATACAAACGTTGCTATGGTGAAGCACTGAAAGTGTAGAAAAAAGGGATAACTTATGCATATGTACATGCATCACCTCTCTTCTCAGCCCCTTCTCAGTAGCCATGTTACGGTAGTTTGTCCACAACGCTCAAACAGCAAGTCTGTGTTAAAGAGGAGTGGTGAACGTGTCATGATGTGAAGACAGACTAGGAGTAGTGCCAAGTAGTGTCATACAATCATAACAGGAAGAATAGGCTCGCTAAGAAGCCAAGGAACCTCGGTAATATTCTTGCTTCTCTTCCACCCCTTCCCCAAACTCTTACACGAGAATGGTATTATCAGCATTTCTGCGTGCTGTGGGTGTTGTGTTTTTTCTATTGAATGAGCAGGTTACTCAGTATTACTCTCTGATGCCTCTTATTATATTCTATAAATTATAATACGTATCTTGTGTGTTGTCCCCCAACAAGACATTTTTTGTTGTACACTTGTGTGGCATTAAGGATGGCATTCTCTCATAACCCCCTACTGGTCAACGCACCGTGTGCACGCAGAGATAGCTGAGATCGACTAAAACCTCTCTTAGTCGAGTCTCAATTTGCATGATTAAGTTTCCCCCAACCCACCTGCTTTCATTATTAGGCTTTTGTCATCGACTCTGTTAATGAATGAAGACTGAGTCCCAGTTACAGTATTGCTTGTAAATTTGGCTCTAGTGCTGCGAACAAGTTATGGGCACCTTATGAAGATTTCTTTATACAAAGCTTTGATATATGGATAAGTATTTAAAGCTGTAGATTTAGGCTAGATATTCCGAGGTACATAGATAAGTTCTCTATACTCTTAAGTGACCCTTTGGCCATGTCACTTCCAGGTGGCCAAATTCCCTGGATCCTGGAAGTGAGCGGCACTTAACACCTGGAAACAAACAGGTGAAGAAAATCATGCCAGTCTTTATTCCTGCTCGATGTATTTTACCCAAATGTCTACAAAGCTCTAAAACTGATTTTAGAAACAATCTTCCGAACTGTAAACCAAATTAGGACAAACTTCTGACATATTTCTTTTCATAATACTTGATTAAGCAGCTGGTCTGTTAACTCCTTCTGGCTTCTTCATATATCACAGCTGATTGATAATAAAAGCAACAGCATTTGGGCATTAGTAGAGCCGAGTTTCCGAGGGCAGCCTCACTGATGATCACCATCCTCCTCAGTCTGACTCTCACCCCAGCCCACCTGTACACACACACCTCTTGACTGCTTATACATAAGCCATTGTATTACTCTGTCACTAACTCGTGACATCCTTGAAACATATCAGTAATGATTACTAGCTTTGCTAGCACTAGGTTGGTAGCAAATGTTCTACTATAATGTCACTAAGGCAACAAGTTAAAATAAATCCCTCTTAAGTTATTCTACAGTCAGAAAAACTTTTCTTACTACTATTGCTAACCCACAAGACACTGGTACACATTCCTGCACCAGAGCACAGTGTCTCCAATGTGTCATCTTGGAGAGCACAGGATCACGGGCCACTCCCAGCCATGAGAATGTGCATTGTATATTTTGTGCGGGCATATGCAATATATCTGACTTTATGATTGGTCCCCTCCCTTTAAAGGTGCCAAACCACTCCTATAGAATGTCTTAGTCTGAGGGGGGGGGGGGGTAGAAGTCTCGAAAAGCACTTAATCTTTAATTGATCTTAGTCTCACATAATATCTTAACCAATTAAACAAGGGTGACAAACGCTCGTAGTCATATTTTAATGATGCCATCATAGTAGCTACAAATACCATAGTCCGAAATATTGTTTAGAATCAAGTGCCTTTCAGAAGTTCTTGCTGCCCCCTTCACCGTGCATAGATTTTGCTAGAGCACGGTAAGGCTCTGCTGTTGTAAGATTAAGGCTGGTATGTGTAATATTACAGACATTAAATCCAGTACTGGATATTTTGTGTGCTGGACAATGATGTAATGTCTGGTCAGTGAGCATTCATTGGTTGTTTTCGACATGAGAGGCAGCCAGGGAGATCATTGAATACTATCGACTAGTCTGGCCTGCCAAGCAGTGAACGCTCATTGGTCATATCCTACATGGGGGTGGCTGCAAATCAGCACCCAGAATGCTTGCCGACATGCCCATCGAGAGGCATGTACGTTCCGCAATGAATAGTTCTAGGTTAGAACTGCCATGGTCAAGTCACTGCTCAGGCATCAGCACCAGCAGTGACTGTGGTATTGAGCAGTTCAGGATGTCCAAGAAGCAGTATTCTTGAAATGTGATCATTTTAACACTTTTTTTAATTATTTATTCTAAGATAGGACTCTTCTTAAGCAATTGTTCTTAGAGTTATGCCTGTACAGCTCTTTTTTTCTGTTATGATGTACCCAATCTGTGCGCTTTTTTGTGTATAAAATGTGAATAAAAGTTGAAAGTATTGGGGATTATTATTTAATCCTAAGCTAGCACTTCCAGTTAGTACAGTACTGCCATCCTAAAGGATATTTAGCACCTTTTGAACATCCTTCGACACGGCACTAACTTGTCTTCTCGGGGTGGTACCACTATGATAATAAAATATTAACAAAAGTAGCAATTAAAACTTTACTATTAATGAAGATCATTGCTCAAGTGCAGACATACGCCAATTGTCGCATTTTCCCTTATATAAGTGATGGTGGTAACCTAGTGTCCGTCCCCCAACAATTGTAGAGAGCTTTCAAGGGTGATCTCGACCCTGCCTGGTGTAATGACTTCCATTTTACATGTGTCCATGTTCAAATGAAGCGTCACCTGACTCCACTCCACACCTCAAAAGTAAACTGGCTTCCACAGGGCACATTTGTCTCGGCTCTACAGAGCTCTGTTATGATGTACATATACTGCTAGAAAATACTACACCACTGGTAAAGTTAAAATCATTTAAGACATTGCTCGTTAATAACAAATTAAGTCAGTTGAAAGCAAATATTTAACATCATCCAGTGTTGTGTCAGGAACTTTGGGTTTCTTAGTGTGTTATTGCATGTATTGTATATTGTAGTTGTCGAGCGGCCGTTAATAGTTTTTGACTGACGGACGATTACTACTTCACTGCCAATTCAATTGCAAATGTTGCTTTGTTGTACCTGTTGTTCTGTTGCAACATTTACAAGAGAATGTTGTATTTGGTTTGTGAATTAGATTTTGAAATTAACAACTTCAAACATTCAAGCTGGGTATCATTGTTGGTTCATTAGAGACTTGTTCGTATTTGTGGAAGTGAAGGAGTGGCTGTTGGCCATTGATAATTCTTCATTTTGCTTCAGACTCGCAAAATGTTAACCAATGGGGCGAGGGTTAGGGTGAATGGCAACCAATCAGCGGCCGGGTCTGGTTGGCTGCTGGTTATAAAAGGGACGATGAGCCGAAAAACACTTCAGTGTGGTTTTGCCTCACTTTTGGTGTTCACTTCCAGGCTCGTCTCTTGAAGGTTAGTTGTATGTGGAAGATCCCTCCCTGCCCCTTGTTGCATCCCCCCTCCCTCTCCCCTGCCCCTTGTTGCATCCCCCTCCCTCTCCCCTGCCCCTTGTTGCATCCCCCCTCCCTCTCCCCTGCCCCTTGTTGCATCCCCCCCCCTCCCTCTCCCCTGCCCCTTGTTGCATCCCCCCTCCCTCTCCCCTACCCCTTGTTGCATCCCCCCTCCCTCCCTCTCCCCTGCCCCTTGTTGCATCCCCCCTCCCTCCCTCTCCCCAGCCCCTTGTTGCATCCCCCCTCCCTCCCTGCCCCTTGTTGCATCCCCCCTCCCTCCCTCTCCCCTGCCCCTTGTTGCATCCCCCCCTCCCTCCCTCTCCCCTGCCCCTTGTTGCATCCCCCCTCCCTCCCTCTCCCCTGCCCCTTGTTGCATCCCCCCTCCCTCCCTCTCCCCTGCCCCTTGTTGCATAACCCCCTCCCTCCCTCTCCCCTGCCCCTTGTTGCATCCCCCCCCTCCCTCCCTCTCCCCTGCCCCTTGTTGCATCCCCCTCCTCCCTCTCCCCTGCCCCTTGTTGCATCCCCCCTCCCTCCCTCTCCCCTGCCCCTTGTTGCATCCCCCCTCCCTCCCTCTCCCCTGCCCCTTGTTGCATCCCCCCTCCCTCCCTCTCCCCTGCCCCTTGTTGCATCCCCCCTCCCTCCCTCTCCCCTGCCCCTTGTTGCATCCCCTCTCCCTCCCTCTCCCCTGCCCCTTGTTGCATCCCCCCTCCCTCCCCTGCCCCTTGTTGCATCCCCCCTCCCTCCCCTGCCCCTTGTTGCATCCCCCCTCCCTCCCCTGCCCCTTGTTGCATCCCCCCTCCCTCCCCTGCCCCTTGTTGCATCCCCCCTCCCTCCCCTGCCCCTTGTTGCATCCCCCTCCCTCCCCTGCCCCTTGTTGCATCCCCCCTCCCTCCCCTGCCCCTTGTTGCATCCCCCCTCCCTCTCCCTCCCTCTCACCCTACCCATCGTTGCGTCCCCCTTTCCCCAACCAGTTGGGCTGGACGGTAAAGCGACGGTCTTGCTTCATGCAGGTTGGCGTTCAATCCCCGACCGCCCAAGGGCCGGATTCGGGGCCGGATTCAGGAAGGTACTTACGAAGGTTTTTCCTCTTAGCTAAGAGCGTTTTCCGTCTTAGCTCCTTCGTGGCGGCTACGTCCGTATTCAATTAACTACCCTAAGTGGAAAAATCTTCGTAAGTTCATTCCGGGATTTAAGTGTGGTTTCGACCACTCGTAGCTTTACGTAAACTGGATATGTCATTTTTTCTCTACTACATAACACTGGGATCGATTTATGATATTGGAACATGACCAAAATATTATAGCTGGTGAATCTAGTGGAGAGGAGTCCTTCGTGTTAGTTATATATGCATTCTCTGCTTGAAACTTGAAGTAAATATGTGTTTGATGATAGTAGAATTAGTTTTATAATAGCAAGATATTATACCAGTAGTTATTAAGTAAATAAACACTGGTGAACATGAAATATGAGAGAAGGTGATGAGCCCTGCCTGATGGGATCATTTACTATCACCAAATGCCCCTGTTCACCTAGTAGTAAGGGTGTACCTTAGCTATACATACCCATTTCTAATTTATTTAGTTTGGTTTTATTTTGAAATTAAATCTGGGTGAGACATAAAATAAAAATATGCTGCACAAATGATGTTAGGTAAGGAAAAGGGTAAAAATGTCAAAAACTTTATTCATTGAATACTTAAAGCTATAATTATGACTATATAGACTACTAAAAAAGAGAGGGAAGTAGGGGTCCAAGACCTCTTCCTGTTATACAATTTGGGTGTGGAACAAGTAATTATCAAAAGAAGGCACCATGCCGGGAAGGCTATGTAGCAGTAAGGCAGTGAGGTGAGGCAGCTACTTATTTGAGAAATGCTTATTTTATTTACCTTATAAGCTGAGGCAACTTATTTTATTTGAGGAATACTCGGCTGATTCCTCTACATTTAGCATGGAACAAATTTGTGTCCAAGACCTCTTCCTGTTACTCAATTTGGCTGTGTGTAACCAAACTAGAAGTGCTCTACAAATCAAGGGACCCAGAATGTGGAATGACCTCCCGAATCATGTCAAAGGCTGTACCTCTCTCAACCAGTTTAAGAGTTAAACCAAGTACTGCCTAATTAACTCCATGTAACCTAACTTACCTCCTAAATGTCAACCCATGTCTTGCTATTTTTTAAACAACGCTGTTCACCAACATGTGCAATTGCTGATTTATGCTATGTTAACCCCCTTTTTGTATTTTTTATTCCTTCTTTCAACACAATTTATACCTAATCTCGATTGCTATTAAGTTTTAGTCTGTGTTTTTTTCCCCCCACACCTTGCCCGAAATGCTATGAGTATTAGTGGCTTTAGGTATTGTATGTACTAGCTCTGCCTATAAATCCAACATTATGTTTGTAAATCAACTGTATGTACTTTTCCTGAATAAAATGTATTTATTATTTATTTTTAATCAGTAAGTATTAAAAGAAGGCACCAAGCTGGGAAGGCTATGTAGCACCATTGTGTGTAACAATAAACCAAATTTTTTTTAACAAATAATGCACCTGTATGGGAAAACAAATCCTGTCAGCTGTAAAAATATTGATGCAGTTATTTAAATGAAAAATATTATGAAAGAAATATTACTGGTTTATTTTTATCCTATCTTTTTGTACTGTACAGTATATCCAAGGAAGTGAAAAATTAAGACATAATGCACAATTTAATGAATGATTAGCATGGATTAGCAGTTCAAAAGAATATGACTTGTATTACATATCAACATGAGATCTTAATGATCCATGGTCAACATGATTTAATAAGGATAATACAGTACTGTATTTGTAATAATACAAACTATAATTTAAAATTTTTATTACTGTTTTTTTATTAAGAAGATTATGTATACACAGCAATGTGCTGCTACCCTATTCTATATGGAATATTACACTGTAGATAAAAAACTAGCTATAAGTTTATCTAATACTCCCATCTCACAGGATGGTTAGACATACTGTACATGGAATCAATTTAGAAAATACCAGCCTCAATACAAAAAACAAATCAACTCTGACTAAACAACTCTAAGCAATTTTCACAAGAGGTAAGCACTGAATCATGGAAACATTATATTATAATTACTCTTTATCAGTTTCTACAAAACTCCTCTCAAACAATGTATTTTTAAACATGTTTAGGTATACACAGCAATGTGCTGCTTCCCTATTCTGTATAAAGGACCACACAGTGTAGATCAAAAACCAGCTACAAGCTCACCCAACATCTTCACCTCACAGGATGGCGAGTCATACATGGAATTAGGAGAGAACAAAATACTTAATGCTGATCTATTAGCCTCCACTGGCAAAATCTGGGTGCAGCACAAGAATATCTTCCAATATTCCTGAGTGTATGAAGTAATTACAGAGCTCAAAGTACCTCATACCATTTGGTATGAAGTCACTGATAACAGGACAATCACAGATAGTGTTGAGAGTATGTTCTCTCAAGTAGGACTGAAAACATGTTTTTTTTCCACCAAGAGGGCTATAAACCCATGGAACCGCCTACCCGCTGAAGCCGTAAATGCCAAATTCCAGCTAAAAAATAACTAATTCAATTGGCGGGCCCTTTAACAAGCCGCCGGCTTTCTGTCCTCTTCGAGGTCACTAGATAGTTAGTGGCCATTGGGTAAATTCAGTAAATATATACAATAATTGTCGGCGCATCTTCCGAGCAACAAGGACAGCTACACAGTATCTCTTAGAATTACGTAGGTAAACAACAAATGTAACATATTTGTTTACTACAATGTCGGTGCTGGCTGTAGAAGTTGAAAAAACATTGTTTTACTTCGAAATATACTAATTTTATAAGAAAATTCGACGTAAATAGGAGGCAGTAGAGCTCCGATAAGCCAGCGCTAAATCTTCAATAT